ACCTTATTTTCTATATGGTAAAGTGTTTTCGGATATTATGGCTATGATCTGGGCCGCGGTGGTGCAATTACCCAAAATGGGCAAGGCCTTCCCTGACTTATACATGGCCTTTGATACATGGCATTTACTATTTAGGGTCCAACACGGAGGGTATGGGGCCTCAGAGTTTGTTTTTACCGGGCAGGGTTTGCGAGCGATTAGGATCCGAGCTTCATTCGCTTAGGGATAAAACAGCCGTTCCAGGAAGCATGGCCGGATGTGTTACGAGAAGTGGTGTTGCTGTTACTGAGCTCGTATACGTATTACGGCCCGCCTTGTTCCGCGATGTTTGTGAGGGGGTACTTGCAAGGCAGGTTTGGGATTTCCGAGGGTCGTTTGGGAATGCGCATGTTATGTGGAGTTGCTCGCACCTTCTGCCGGTCAGGCGAGCGACGGCACGGAGCTCAGCATCACCGACCTGTGGAATTCTGAGAACAAATTGTGTGTGTGTATGTATACATATATATACACACACACACGACATACATATATAATTACATACATATACATAGTGTATATCTGTACAGATGCATAAATACGTACATATGTCTCTCTCTCTCTCTCTCTCTTTCCATATATATATGTATATGTATATGTATATGTATATGTATATGTATATGTATATGTTTCGTGTATGTATGATATATGTATATACATACACAATTCTGTCTAGTGATCGCTCGTCTTATCTATCCATCTATCCATCTATCTCTCGATCTATCTATCTATTTCAACAACCTATCTATCTATCTATCTATCTACCTGTCTATCTGTTCATATATGTATGTATGTATGTATGTATGTATGTATGTATGTGTGTGTATGTATGTATGTATGTATGTATGTATGTATGTATGCATATATGTATCTATCTATCTATCTGTCTATCTGATACATGAAGATATAGGTATGTAGGCATATGGATCGATGGATAGATACATAGTGAGATAGAGAGATAGATAGATTGATTGATGGATAGTAAATAGAAAGATAGATATAGGTATATAGATATGTACTTGTGCATGTGTACAGACATGCATACATAGATACATGCATGCATGCATATATATATATATATACGCATGTATGTCTCTGCGTGTGTGTATGTATGTATGTATGTATGTATGTAGGTAGGTAGGTAGGTAGGTAGGTAGGTAGGTAGGTAGGTAGGTACGTACGTATGTATGTATATATGTATGTATGTATGTATGTATGTATCCATGTATGTCTCTATGTATGTGTGTCTGTATGAATGAATGAATGTATGTAATGTTGTGTAATCTGTCTTGTATATACGCAGGTACATGTGCATATGCGTACACATACACAGATACAGATACATTACATATACATAGACATATACCTACACATGCACATGCACATACGCATACTTATACACATGCTCATACACACGTACGTACATACATACATACATACATACATACATACACACATACATATTCTTGCATACATACATACATACAGACACATACATACATACATACATACATACAGACAGACACATACATTCATTCATACAGACACACATACATATCTACGTACATAGATACGTACATACATACATACATACATACATACAAACATACAAACATACATACCTGCAGATATAAACATATCCTTTTATATACAAACATAACTATGCAGCAGTATGCATGCTCTGTATTTGTCTTGATCTTAGGTATTTTGCAATGCATATCCGAGACTGGAAGGCTCAAACCACGCCCGCCCACCCCGAAGCCCCGGAAGAGAGTTTCAGAAAACAAGGGACTAGACTAGACCCAACATAGCGAGATCGTTTCTATAAGGACGCGAGTACCAAGAGACCTCCATGTCAACGCTTGGCCAAGGCAGACTTAAGGATGACTTGATCGGCACTCCCTTCGCCACGAGACCGGGTGGCCGCGGGCCCGAGATTGAGACAACGTAGGGTTTACAGTAGGGTTTAGGGCTTAGGGTTTAGTAGGCTTGCCATCCTTGCTATGATCGCATGTTTTTGTGTGTGGCTTGCCATTATTCCCGCCATCCCTTCTTAGAGAAGTAAAGACAGCCCTTCAGAAGGTCAGATCGCTCCTCGTCGAAAAAGCAACTACCCGAAGCTTGCCAACCTTTGTGAGCAAACTTCAGAGGAATTCAAGTTAATCCACGACCCGACGCCCAAAAACTCGAGCTTTTGCTTGAAGGATCGCAAGACCTCGCAAGCATGCTAGACAGGATCCCGCACGCAAGCTCTACAAACCCTCAACCCCCAAATCACATCCCCTGCACCCCAAAAAGCTCTATACCTAAACCCTAAACCCTAAACCTTAACCCTAAACCCCAAACCGTATAGACCCAACAGAAGATCTTCTTCATGTTTTGCCCGCTGGAGCCCAGCTCCTGAGCAAGCTGTGGCCTCAACTCCAAAGCACCGAAACCGAATGAGCCCAGACCAGGGAGCCCGAACCTGCTTTTCAAACAGAGTAATATAGGGGCCTAAATGATTACCTATACTATCTTTTTTTTGGGGGGTTCCTTGTTATAATTATCGTACAATGGTCCGCAAATCCCTATTTTTTTTATCAAGGCCCCTACATTAAACTCTTCACTTCCGGGCCACAAACCTATAGAAGGACCCACGTCCGTCAAAGCCGACACCCCTCCCCTCCCAGCCTTGCCCCGAAGAAGAAGAAGAAAGCTTTTCCAGGTGACGCCAGCAGTGATGCCGAGGTGGAGGCCCATGATCGCTGAAAGCTTGAGGGCAGAGAATGAGGTCGGGGCTCGGGGTGTAAGGTTGTGCAGCTCTATACTAGAGCATATCAGATCAGACTGTTTGGATCGGGCTCATGGTTCGGAGTATTAGAGCTTCAGAGTTTCGGCTTTAGGCTCGTAGGGTCTGTAGGGTTTCAAGGTTTGTTGGATTCGGCGCTGTGCCTTAAGGTATAAGAGGTTGGGTGGGGATTAGGGCCGATTATGGTTCCGGGCTTTGGAGTTCAGGTTGCTCGGTTCGAGGCTGTAGGACATGGGTGTTTAACCTCCTGGGATAATGTCCTAAAACACAGAAGAAAGGCCCAGGTATAGATGCACAGATCTGTGTGCTTCCCCTGCTTCATAAATCTAAATATGTGATGCCATGCAAGCATGATCACTGCAAGAGACAATCTAGACTGCTCGACATGGTAGTGACACTCCGTGACGCTTGCAAGAGGCGTTGCCAGTGAACTGCAAAGACCCTGGCTTGGTCCACCAGAAGGCGCCAGAGGGCTTTGGAATTTGTGAATTTGCGGCTGGATTACTGGACATCCACGATTTCGAGAAAAGCGGTTGCGCACTTGCTGTTCGGAATTTACTGTCATTCCCTTGGTTTCCCAACTTTGTCTCAGTCAACATGCGGGAAGTCGGCCCTGTTGTTCACGACGCCACTTAGCTCGAAGGGAGTCGCCGAGTATGACTACGCATAGCGTGGTCGAAGCTCATGCAAATTCATGAGCAAGGTTGTTGGTGTCTGTATATGTGAGACTTGAAGAAGGGGGAGTGTAGGTCGGATGATCCCAGTGCCAGATCGAGGTGAAAGTGGTTGTGGTAGGTGAGGCAGGAGCAGAAGCTTGGGCAACAGCAGTAGTAGAAGTTGGAGCTGCGGCAGCAGCAGGAGGACGACCTCGGTTTAGAGCAGAAGAACGGAGTTGTGGCGTTGGGGCACGAGTTCAGTAACTCCTAGACCCGTTGGCAGCAGACTCTGCGCAGGTCAAGGCGTACGTGGCTCGCTCCGGCTTCGTAGAGCCTGTAGCTCAGCGTCCTCGGAGGTTTCGGGTGTGAGTTTAGGTGGGGATGGCTTGTGGAGATTGGTTTGCAGTGGATTGGCTGGTGGGCTACGGTGTATGTGGTTTACAATGATCTGGGGCTGCAAAAGACTCACCATCGCCCCTTTCTTGGAAGCTTCGTGATTCGCCTATTTGCGAGAACCTTCTGTCGAGTGAGACCTCATCAAGCGAAAGTTTGTAGTAAGTTTTGCTACCCAGCCTTTCTGTGTTCGCATGGAGACAGGCCACTGCAAATAGAAAACCCTAAACCCTAAACCCCACAGTTCTGATATCTTCGGACTGAGAGTCTCCACTTCGCGGCTCAAGACTCCTCTCCTTACTATATTTATATTCGAGCGGAAGAAGTTTCGCCAGCCCAGAACCACAGAGGAAGCGGTAAGCCCTGAACCCAAGATCCACCCCTTAGCCCTGAAGTCTTTGTCTTGGATTGAACAATACGTCAACGTACCCTAGACCCTGCTCGCCCGTGCAAGACAACCCTACAAGGGACCCACCCCGGGCGCCCTAAATCCCAAGCCGTCCTAAACCCCTAAACCCTAAACCCTAAACCCTAAACCTTAAACCCCTATACCCTGAGCAACTTGAAGTCGTCTCCTTTCCCAGGGTCCTTGGCGCCACGGGCATCGCGAAGGTCTCCCCGGAGAGCCTCCAGTGCCTTGCGAAGGCTGATCTTGCGACAGGTTTGGAAGTTTACGAAAAGGATTGCCGCGAGGGTTGCTAGAAGGATCACGGTAAGGGTTCAGGGTTTAGCGTTTAGAGTCATTACATAGAGATGGGAAAAAGGAGATCGATGCCAAGAACACTACTGCCCGCGACGCTGACAACAACAATTGACAGCGAAAGCATTTACACTGCTTGTCTAGAAAAAATGCAGCATGCAAAGCAGCAATGGCATTGGCAAATATGCGCAAAATCAACAGCTGAAAGTTCTGCCATGGTACCTGAACACAAAGAGGGCCTTGGGTGTAGGATGAAGTGCTTGAGGTGTTAGGCTTGACTTTTTGCCGTCATGCCTTCTGGTGTGGACAACTTCTGCAGCAGCAACAACAGCAGCAGCAACAAAAGCAACAACAACCACAACCACTACCAAGTCCACAGGAACGGGTTCCCGGCGGCAGAAGCATCTACCGGGATGCATAATCATCGTCATCATCATCATCATCACCATCATTATCATCGTCGTCATCGGCCTCCTCCTCATCACCATCACCTTCATCATCACCATCATCACAATCATCTCATCCTCATCACCATCTCATCATCATCATCATCATCATCGTCACCATCAACAACAGCAGTTCACCTTCATAACCATCGTGTTATTCATCGAAATCGTCATGGCGGTCAACGTTGTTTTGTTCATCCTTCGTCTCATATTCCTCGGCAACTTCGTCATCATAGCTATCACTAATTAGCACTAACACCATCATCACCATCCAAACTTGACAGCAGCAAAACCTCGCGACAGATCTGGGCTTTTGTTGAGCGAAGTACTCGTTCACCAACGCATCCAAACGGTTTCGGGTTTAGGGTTTAGGGTTTAGGGTTTAGGGTTTAGGTTAAAACAGAGAATGCCTGGGAGGCGCTCGTGCAGCTCTCCAAGCCTTCCCGATGGGTGGCTCAGGACGGAAAGGGGTTTTGGGCGCATGTGGGAAGGTTGGAAAACTAGGGTACCTTATTTTTGGGGTCCTTATAATAAGGATCCTACTAGTTGGGGTCCTATATCAGGGTCCCTTATTTTCTGAAACTCCCATGTATCTGCATTCGACGTGCAATGATTAGCATCTTTTCATCTGGGCGTGCCGGCCATCATGCCGGGGGGGGGATCAGTGGGGGGGGGGATCAGTTGCGGCAGAGTGCGGTAGTGCCTTTCGGTGGCCTCGAAACGCAGGATTAGATAAGCTGATGCAGTGCTTTCAGACCCAGTAATTCCAGCATACGGAGAGATGCTACTGTAAATGTTCCGACTTGGTGCTGCCAATCTGAGCTGAACCAGCCTGTCTGGATATCGCCACGCATTTGCTGGAATCGCTTTGTCGGGGCGCAGTAGTGGCAGCATATAGTCATATAGAACGAAGGATATGTTCAATCCTGTCCCCTGTTCTCGCGAGACGCCTAAGACCCTTGAGTGGGTGTTTTCAGACTGCAATGCAGGGCCAGAGCCCGACAACTGCAGAACCGGCGGATGAGGTGCAGGTTGCTTTGCTTGGGCTGTGATTTGCACGCTGTGCTGTTGATGCCTGCCAGGGTAAGCATGTCCATCGCTGCTAGTAACTTCCGCATAAAGTCCCAAGCACTAGCCAAAGGTGTCTCACCCTCCCCTTAACCCGAAACCGTGAACCCTAAACCCTAAACCCTAAACCCCTAAACCCCTAAACCCTAAACCCTTAGTCGAAGATCGCCCAAGCATTTGCCACCCATGATTTTGCAAGCTTGCCTTATAAACCTCCGTGAACCTACAATAAGTTACACAATTAAATACGTTCTAAGCCTTAATCACGCAGAAGAAAAGCTCTATGAGCACTTTAATCCCACAACAACGAGAGAACAAATCCCTCTTGTGCACCAAGTATGCCAGGCAGGCAGAGCTTCATGGCATGATGTGGCGGATCCGGTTTTCTGCCCCTTCGGCTCTTCAAGCTTTCGCGTGTTTGGAGGCTTCAGGTTCTTTTGGATGTTGGATTAATATAGGGGCCCAAGCAAGACTACTTTGGGTTCCTATCATATAGGAAGTACAGTTTACCAAAACCCGATTCGAATCATTAAGGCCCCTACCTTACGTGAGCTTCGGGTTGAACTCATGGTTTAGACTTCTGGAGTTATTCAGGGGTCCACTCTGCAGGAACGGCGATGGAAGTCTAGAGCTGAGACGCTCTGCGTTTAGGGTCTTAGGCGTTTTGAGGCAAGTTTGAGGTGTAATATAAGGGCCATACTATTTTGGGGGTGCCTTATTCTTACTGGCTGTTAAGCGGGAATGG